GAGTCAAACCACATTTTAGATGACTTTTTTAGCAGTTATCAAAAAGTGTCAAAGTAAAGACAAATCTCCACAAAGTAACTTAAGTTTAGTACAAACTTCAGGCTGCAGTGGTGAATCTGATGCCCACCAGCAGTGTGACAGTGCTTGTAACATTAATGTGGTGTGCAGAGTTTCCTGCACAGCGATGGGTGACGAGGTGGCAAATTAATAGCTGCGGAGGATGAGAGCGGTGATGAGTCTCCTCTGAATCCCTGCCCATTAAACTATCTGTGCTCAGGGCCCCCCGGGGCACTGCAGGATCACTGCCAGTTGCCTCACTGACACAAATCCACACAACACACACACATGCATGCGCAATTTCACACAAACGCCACGAGAAACACGTTGGCACTCGCACGTACACAGCTACCCGCACGCAGCCGAAAGGGCTTTTGATAAAAACCACTGGATCAGCAGTCGCTTCTCCGTATGAACACAAAAGAGCTTAGCGGAGGAGGTTAATGACCTCAACACCTCGGTGAGAGCTCAGAGTCGGCACGTCCTCGACGGCGTTACAATCTGATCACGACCCAGACGGTATCATTTGGACCAGATATTATATTCAGAACGTGGTACATCAAAGCTTGATATAAGTTTTTGGTCTGGTGATTGACCACAATGACATAAAATTCTGATTTTGTCATCAATTTTGTGATAATTGAGTATGAACACACTGAGTAACTGTATAAAATCTATTAGGAAAATGAATAATCCTGAGCCAACAGTAATCAAAAACTAACAAAATTAATTATTGAAGCTCTTGTTTTTCATGTACAAAGGATTTTATTGGTGTTTGGCCATATGGTAATATTTACCGTTACTATTTTTCACTATTGTGATGCTGATTTCAGCCAGAAAAGTTAGCTAAAGTCACAGATTTGGGAAAATTTAACCCATTTCTTGTGTACAGCAGCACATAAACAACACTTTGCAGAAGGATGATAATAGAGGAAACAAACCTAGCATGCATTTATGATAATGCATTTTTTTTCCTATTGTAATAAAAGGGGAAACTGTTTCTTTCAGTGAGCATCTAATGTGAAATCATCATTTCTAGCGTATACCCTGCATTCATCACCTGCTCCTGCTACCGTGGCCTCCAGCTGACACGCTGAGGAAGTGACAGTAAACCAGGCATGCAGACTGGACGGATAGTTTACCACATAAACCGCGACACGTGAAATAAAAAGCAAAGAATGAAGGACGATATCAGCGTGACATATGTGAGCGTGGCGCCGTTTCATCATCCTCCAGCGCCGTCACCAACATTCAGAGTGACTTTTAGCTCATGTCAGCAGTCGGTGTGTGTCACAGATGAGCAGCGCAGAGGCCGTGATGAAAAGCAGCAGCGACAGACAGCGAAGAGGATACAAGGAGCAGGAAAGCAAATCTGTCAGGGGACAGCAAGTGCCTGCACCTTGTTTCTATAAATTGCAGCTGATAGGTCACTTGGTGTTTAGCACACTGTGTAACAGCCACTCAGCCCCACAACTCTTCCTATCACATGTGGCTCAGAGCTGGGCTGCCGTCATTAGGCGGACATGTTGCCATCTAGGACACCTGCCCTTCTGTGTGTGAAGTCCTAATCATTCCCTCAATATAAAAATCCTGTCAACTGCAGCTCAAATAGAAATGATGTGTTTGACAAATAATGCCGTACGCGCTTTAGGAGGTTATTTTAAGACTAAGCTGCTGAAGAATGAGTCATATTCAAATGTGTACTGTCAGAATCAGTGCGTACACGTGTTTTTAATTAAAGTTCCTCATTAGCCACATCTTCTCATATGGTGCCATGATACATGTACAATTAGTCTATGAGGTAACGCTTGATTCTCAATAACTTTCACGTAAAGATCAACATTTTTGAGTAAGACTTCTTGGATTTCTTGAATAAATGACATTATCAAAGTCCTGAAACAGAAAGCAGCACTGTTTGTTGATCTGTCGGAGGAACTTGATTCCGTTGAGCTGCTGCTGAACAGACTCACTAACTGTCGTACGGGTAACAAGGCCATCGAGTGGTTCAGGAACTACCCTGCAGATAGAACCAATGAGTGTGCACAGATGGACACAAGTCAAGCTTCACGGAGATCTCTAGGGGAGTCCCTCAAGGCTCAGTTTTAGCTTTAGTCTTATTTTTAGGAATAACATTAAGAAGGGCATCCCTACAGCTCAAGTGCATCTATATGCAGATGACACACTATTGTATTTAGCTGCCTCTTCTCCAGTCCTGGCTGTTGATAAGCTCCACAACGCTTCACAACAGCTGAAGGCTTCATTGCAAGATTTAAGATTGGTTCTAAATGTGCAGCAATTTTCCTGAGGTTTCCACCAAAGGGATCAATACAGATCTATTCTACTCTACTCTAAATGCTAAGGGAACCAAATTTATGACTTTTTCTAGACCTCGCTCATAGATCTAACTTATTGCTGGCATTATGAGGGGGCTTCATTAAACAAATATCAAGCAACAAATACTTGGGTATCTGAGTGGATGATAAGCTCTTGTGAAAAAACTGCAGGTTAGGTTGGGTTTTTAATATCCGAATAGGACTTGTTTTGATTTAGCAGTTAGGAAAACACTGGCATCGGCTACGTTCTTAAGTGTTAGAGGCTATGGAGACATTATCCATATGAATGCTGCTGCTTCTACTCTTTACTGTCTAGACTCTGTGTATCACAGCCTTCTATGTTGCTGTTTTTTATCTAGCACATTATAATCAGGTCCGTTGGCCTCATTTCGCCGAAGGAGACAGCAACACTGGTATACTTTAATTTACAAAGAGATACTGGGTAGACTTCCATCTGGCTTATGCAATTTTCTCTCATTTGGTGTTGCAATTCTCTCTCATCTAAATGGCTGCTGTGCAGGGAGCCCAGGGTTTGCTTTTAACTTGGGACAACATTTAGAAACACTACAGCTTTGTGATTCTGTCTCACTGGGAGAGTTCAAAGCTCTGATCAAAAGATGTGTGACTGTAGCGTGCAATTGCGCCTCCTAAACTGGATTTTGTTTTGTGTGTTTAACCCCTTCGTTGTTTGTATGGGCTTTACTTTTGGCCTGTGTCCACTGTTGTCATGTTTGCTTTTATAATCCTTTCTAATCGTGAGCCTTCTCGGCCAGCTCTCCCTCGAAGAAAAGGTTTTAATCCCAAGGGACTTCCTAAGTAAATACATAAACACCACCAGTGTGTGTGTGTGTGGTTTGCTTTAGGAGCATCTAATTCAAACTGAATATGAATGAACAAGACAAATATCGCAGTTATCCTCCTCCACCAGCAAAAAATTATTGCAGACGCAGCAGCAACAGAGTGCAGGAGCTGCATATTGTCTCAGTGGAAGATAATAGATCACAGTGACATGGTCCAGCACATCAGCTGATGCCAGTGCAGGTTAGACAACAAACAGCACCTCTTCCAGGGGATGGAGATGCAACCTTTTATCATGACAGGAGGGTATTTATAGGTTACGGCGCTAAGGTTTATAATCACATGCAATATCAGACACGTCAAATGCATTTGCAGTTAAAGAAACTTGTCACCAAATAAATTCCTGAGTGTCACTGGCAACACTTCATGCAGACACAATGAGGATGCCTTCATGAATTATGGGTGATCTGGGTGTCCTCCTGAGCAGGGATTGAAAAGGAGGATGGTCTCCTGCTGGGTACTAACTACAAACACACTCCCTGCTGTTTGTTTTAATAGTTCAGACATCTGGCACCCTGAGCCAAGTTATGCTCACCTCTGTCCAACACCTCGACTTATGGCATCAGGACACGTGAACGCACCATTAAAGTGAACCCCCTCAGCCCGGTCTGATAAAGCAGGTCTGAGCCCAGCGGTTAAATTTGGGAGCGTGTCAAAAATAGAGGCCGTTAATAAATGCTCTCTCCTCCTGCAAACACTTGAAGCTACCAACTTTGAACCCTACCTCGTCCTCCGTGTCGTTTCTGAAGCACAAACACGCAGCTCTCCTCTTGAACCCTTCGCCGTCGTACGTCCTGGTCTGGTTGGGCTTAAACTTCATCATATAGGATCCTGATCGGTCGAGTGCCAGGGAAAAAAATGGAGGGGGAAAAATATATATATATAAAGAGGGAGAAAAAAAATCAAGTGGAGAAAGTGGTTGTCGAGAGCGAGATCTCCGAACTTCGCGTCTTCAGTCGGTCCCGGTTAGAAAACGTGCCGTCGGTTCATTCATTCCGAGACAATGTCAGGCTGCATCTGGTCGCATATTGCAGCTTCCTACCTTCACTGGTGCTTTACTGCTGCTGTCAACACGCCTGATTCAACAAACTCGCTCACATCTGCTACCAGCTGATCTGAGAGCTGCGCAACAAGCGGCCCGTCGCTCGGATCCACGTTACGCTCACCGCGCGTCCCGGCTCCGGGCGCATCGTTAGCGGCGGTTCACGCAAATAAAGTGTCGTTTTTTTTTTCTTTTTCTTTTTCTGTTTTTTTCTGGAGCTACAAGTTCCTCGGTAATTATTACAAACGTGGCGCGTGTGAGAGGAGTGATGCTGCCTTCAAGTGCTGCTCTGAGATCTGCAGCTCCAAACCAAAGTGCAGGAGCGCAGAGGCGGAGCGAGACGGGTTTACAGGGGGGACCAGGCTCACACCGGGGTGGCCCAGGGTCTCCTTCAGTAGTTGACGCAGGGTGAAAAGGTCACTCACTCTCAGCATTTGCTTATTAAGGCAAGATTGCCATGTAGAAATGTGGTAAACCAGAATAAGATGCTCCCCTTGAGAATAGTGGCTTATCTCTTGTAAAATATATATGTTTTCAATTATCAATGTGTGTGGGTACTTTAAAAAGTTCTCTGCCTCACTGGAAACAAGGGACGTAACTCCCGTTTGGGGGGAGACAAAGCCTTATATCTAGGGCTGCAGCTGTTGACTATTTTAACAACTATGTTCTGGTGATTATTCTGGCAATTAATCAAGCAATTGGATAAAAATATGTATATATATTTCATTAAATTACTTTAGTCTAATTTAATAGCAATACATCGATTTCTCCGCAGGTTATTTTTGCGCTCTCTGCTGCTCACCGTTTGTCTTTTAGTCCGCTTGGCACTTCACAGTACAGCATCAAAAGTGAAAGTGAGCGCGCTGTGCAACAGAAATAACCATCTGGGAAGAACATGGGTGGATATCTTATAGTGTGTAGTGGATCAAACGAAGCCTCAAGGCAGAGAATTTTGCTTATAGAGGTATTTTAGTAATCGAATTACTCAAATTACTATTGTATTGTTTCAGCCTTACTTATGTCACCATCCATATGTGTGATGGATGTGTCCAAAATCATCCACTCACTCCCTTCTCATTATCTAGAGACCACTACGTAGTGAACTATGTAGGGAGCATCTCGGCAAAGCAACATTTTGGACAAAACTCGAGCTATTAATCACACCGGTTACTAGCCATGATTTGTGCTGCATCAGCGTAGTGCAAACGCAACAGAGTCACAGTTTATTGCACGGCCAAGAAACGGGTAAAAATCTAATTTAACAATACAACTTAAACGGGAAATAACTTACATTTACAAGTTTTCGCACTCCCGTTTGTCTTGTTTACGATCTCCAACACATGATGGTCCATATCGTTCGGTTAGTGACCATCAGTTGTACACTAATTTTCATGGTGCATTGTGGGACATTTTGAGGGCACTATAGAGAGTGTAACATTCGGAACTTAACATTCGGACAGCACTACAACATGGTAAACACCCCATATAGTGAACTATATAAGGTAAACTCTACATAGTGCACTATGTAGGATATAGTGAGTGATTTTGGACGCTGCCAATGTTTGTCGTCATTTCTTTGCAAGCAGGGGAAAGCTTGGAGTTGGTGTGTTGTTGCTCCAGGACAGTGCATCCAACCACACGGAACAGGAGGCAGAAGCAGCCAAATGTGGCTTTGAGCTGTTGCTTCATGCAACTTACTCACCCAACCTGGCACCATCTGACTTCTATCTGTTTACAAAACTGAAATCCCACTTGCGTAGTTGCCATTTTCAAAGTAAAGATGAGGTCACGCATGCGGTTCAGCAAAAAGATAAGTGAAGCTTGAACATCAGTGAACTGAGTGCATTAAAGTTAAAGGACACTATGATGATCAAAAATGTTTGTTTTGCTTTTTAAATTACTGATAACACTTACAATTACCATTTAAATTACATAAATACCCGTAAGACACTTCTGTCAAAGTGTCCTTGCTCTGCTCAAGACATATACGTTGTTCAGACATCACACTGCGTTCATCCAGCCTTTTGTTTCCGGGTCAATCTGACATTGTTCAGCAGTTTGTTCCTTTAAGTGTCTGTTCAAGAGTTTCAACTTAATCCAAAGCTAAACCTAAATCACACACATCTTAACTAATGCAAGACATATGAAAATGGATGCATTTTAACAGTGTCTCTGCACTTTTTAATGACACTAACATACAATCTTTTAATTGCTAGAAAATCAGTGTGAAATGGTTCTGCAAAAATGTTCCGTCAGAAAAAATGTACTTGCTGAGTGCAGCCCTGGTTATGTGGGGTGACCAGGCCTGAGTCTGTGGTGGCTGTAGCCTCTTAGATCCAATAACGTCATCCAGACAAATCAGACTCCTTTAAACTACTGCGGCGACTAAAGATTACTTTCATCCTCAGTGAGTTTGCTGATTATATTCCTGATGAATTGATTAGGTGTTCATCTGTTAAATGTCAGAAAAACATCAATCAGTGTTTCTCAAAGCCCCAGATCACAACTATCTTGTTTCATCCACAACCCAAAGATATTCAAAAGAAACCAGAAAATATTCACATTTAAGAGGCTGGAATCTGAACATGTTTGCTTTTTTTATTTTGAAAAATTGCTCAAAGCAACTGAATGAGTATCAGAATAGTTGGTGATTGAGTGAATAACTGATTAACCATTGTAGCTCTAGTTAAACCAATAGTTAGTGAGGTTTGTTTTAAGGATATTCTTATTGTTAACATCCCTCATTTCCACTTTTACAACAGTTACACACACAAAAAGCAAAAACACCCCACACAGATGAATAAATATAGTCAAGGGAGAGCTACTTTCACCTCACACATTACATTTATATTTAAAGGAATTGTCATAAATGTACATGTACATGCTGCTTATTATTGGAATGAATGGAATAAATGAGTGCATACTTGCAGCAGGTGCTTTACTCCATTTATTGGCCATTCATTTCTGTTGGATAAACTTACATCTTGGAAACGAGGTACATGTGAGGTTAGAAAAAGAAAATACCGGTTGCACTTAGACTGCCCAGTTTCCCGCAGTGGTTAAAGAAAGCCCATAACTGTTTTAACATAGAATAAACAAAAAACAAAGCTTAAGGTCACTTTCAGTGCAGTGCAGCAGCTCCATGGATCTACTTACAGCAGCATAGTGAAGTAGGGGAAGTCTGTAATGTGCTGGATCTGAAAGTTACAAAGCTCAGGGCTTCCCTCTAGTGGTGGAGGAGGTTTGTCCACAGCGAAGATGTGAGGTTTGAAAATGAAAATCTGTTTAAATGGGAGCTGCAAGGTGGCGCAGTCGCCTCGCAGCAAGAAGGTCGCTGGTTCGCGTCCCGGTGAGGACACCCGGGATCTTTCTGCGTGGAGTTTGCATGTTCTCCCCGTGCAGCGTGGGTTCTCTCCGGGTTCTCCAGCTTCCTCCCACACAGTCCAAAACATGTTGAGGTTAATTGGTGATTCTAAATTGTCGGTAGGTGTGAATGTGAGTGTGCTTGGTTGTCTGTCTCTAAGTGTAGCCCTGTGATAGACTGGTGACCTGTCCAGGGTGTCCAGGGTGGATGGACTCCAGCCCACCGCAACCCGAGTGAGGATTAAGCAGTGTATAGATAATGGATGGACGGATGGATGTTTGCGTATTTAATTGTTAACATTTTCCTAAATCAGGACCTGTGTTGGCCATTGATATCTGGAAGAAACTAGATCATGAACAGGATTAGGTTAAAAGTAAAATTTAAAAACATCTGAACTAGTGAAGGAGTCTGACCCACAGCCGAAGCAACACTATGACTCACATCAGGATTTAAACGGTTGGAGGAAAGGGCCATGGTATGTTCTGCAAAGATAACTATTAAAATGTCAGGGTCACAGGAGCGTGTAGGCTACAATTTTCCACGTCAGTAGAGACGACTCTCAAGACCCCTTTTGGACTTTTAACTTCATCAGCCTGAACCAGATTCATGTGGCTGGAGGCAGCTTTGCTCCGAAGGCATCGGGCAAGATTTTCTACGTTTTAATCAAAGTGTTTTTGACCCCAGATGAGATCCTTAATAGCAGCAATTACAGCTTAGAGAACAGCATAAATTTCATTTGCGTTAAGCACCGAATTAATGATAATAGAAGCAACTGGCTGTGGACTGAGGGAGAGTTAACGACACAAACGGAGGTTTAATCGAGCAGCACACGTCATACATGTGTCCCCGCAAGAATCACACTCAGTTAACCATTTATTAATCAACAGAATTTATTTACAGAACATGAAAGTATGCAGGTGGACTGTTTCATAGCGTTCTGAGAGCAGGAAAACGTTTTCCTCTTCAGATCAATAAAGAATGAATTTATACACAGTGAATTGAATACAGACTTGTTCAGCCAAACACTAATCACAGGAGTCAAACCTTCACTGATCTTTTGGAGTTTGATCCCTCGACAAACCAGCATCTCTTCTCACACACACAGGAGTCCCTCGAAACCCTCCCCGATCCCGACCCTCCCTTCCTCCCCCAGTTCATCAAACGACTGACGGCTTACGTGTAACATCTGCTTTGTGAAATAAAAGCCATTGGGAGCAGGTAAACCACAGAAGTCTTGCAGAGTTAGACTGTGATGACGCAAGGAGGGGGAAAGCAAGAGTAGTTAGTCATGGCAATAGCAGGAAAGGTTCACATATAAAAGACTAGATATGGTAATAACACATATGTGCTAAAAACTAAGGAAAGGTCCACAATGTCCACCGCAGCCACCGCAGCCTCTCCACAAGCCTACAGCACGTCCACGCCTACACGGAGAGCGGTCGGAGACGGTTAATGTGACGGTGGCAGGCTCAGATTTGGATTTTTAGTCATATCACTTTGCATTCATCGAAGCCAGACGCGACTCAAAGAAGAAGCAGGACAGTGATTGTATATGCATCCTGCGGGACGAAGCCCTCGCCAGGTGAGTGTCTACATACAGTGGGCTAGTAGTAGTTAGCTGCTTTTAATAAACAAACAGCGACACGACAAAACAAAGTTAAAAGAAACATAAAAAGTATATCATATCGACCACATCTAGCGGGTCCCCCGTATCTTATTACGCTCGCTCTGCCCCCCCCCCTCGCAAGCACACATTCCCCTAAAAATACGGCATGTAAGACGCCTCCCCCCCTCCCCAGTGGACAAAGAAAGCCAGGTGAGTAGATCTACAACCTCTGCCCATGCAGCTGAATAGTAGTGAGTTAGGACAAAGACAGTTAAATGTTTTTACTAGTGTGCATTTAAATCACCGAATGTCAGCAGTTGTTTATATATATATATATATTTTACACACATACATACATTTATATTTATATATACACTACCGTTCAAAACAATTTTGTGTTTTCCATGAAAAGTCACACTTATTCACCACCATACGTTGTGAAATGAATAGAAAATAGAGTCAAGACATTGACAAGGTTAGAAATAATGATTTGTATTTGAAATAAATTGGTTTTTTTTACATCAAACTTTGCTTTCGTCAAAGAATCCTCCATTTGCAGCAATTACAGCATCGCAGACCTTTGGCATTCTAGCTGTTAATTTGTTGAGGTAATCTGGAGAAATTGCACCCCACGCTTCTAGAAGCAGCTCCCACAAGTTGGACTGGTTGGATGGGCACTTCTCGCGTACCATACGGTCAAGCTGCTCCCACAACAGCTCAATGGGGTTCAGATCTGGTGACTGCGCTGGCCACTCCATTACCGATAGAATACCAGTTGCCTGCTTCTGCTCTAAATAGTTCTTGCACAATTTGGAGGTGTGTTTAGGGTCATTGTCCTGTTGTAGGATGAAATTGGCTCCAATCAAGCGCTGTCCACTGGGTATGGCATGGCGTTGCAAAATGGAGTGATAGCCTTCCTTATTCAGAATCCCTTTTACCCTGTACAAATCTCCCACCTTACCAGCACCAAAGCAACCCCAGACCATCACATTACCTCCACCATGCTTCACAGATGGCGTCAGGCATTCTTCCAGCATCTTTTCATTTGTTCTGCGTCTCACAAACGTTCTTCTTTGTGATCCAAACACCTCAAACTTGGATTCATCCGTCCACAACACTTTTTTCCAGTCTTCCTCTGTCCAATGTCTGTGTTCTTTTGCCCATCTTAATCTTTTTCTTTTATTGGCCAGTCTCAGATATGGCTTTTTCTTTGCCACTCTGCCCTGAAGCCCAGAATCCCGCAGCCGCCTCTTCACTGTAGATGGTGACACTGGTGTTTTGCGGGTACTATTTAATGAAGATGCCGGTTGGGGACCTGTGAGGCGTCCGTTTCTCAAACTAGAGACTCTAATGTACTTATCTTCTTGCTCAGTTGTGCAACGCGGCCTCCCACTTCTTTTTCTACTCTGGCTAGAGCCTGTTTGTGCTGTCCTCTGAAGGGAGTAGTGCACACCGTTGTAGGAAATCTTCAACTTCTTAGCAATTTCTCGCATGGAATAGCCTTCTTTTCTAAGAACAAGAATAGACTGTCGAGTTTCAGATGAAAGTTCTCTTTTTCTGGCCATTTTGAGCGTTTAATTGACCCCACAAATGTGATGCTCCAGAATCTGCTCAAAGGAAGGTCAGTTTTGTAGCTTCTGTAACGAGCTAAACTGTTTTCAGATGTGTGAACACGATTGCACAAGGGTTTTCTAATCATCAATAAGCCTTCTGAGCCAATGAGCAAACACATTGTACCATTAGAACACTGGAGTGATAGTTGCTGTAAATGGGCCTCTATACACCTATGTACTGTATTGCACCAAAAACCAGACATTTGCAGCTAGAATAGTCATTTACCACATTAGCAATGTATAGAGTGTATTTCTTTAAAGTTAAGACTAGTTTAAAGTTATCTTCATTGAAAAGTACAGTGCTTTTCCTTCAAAAATAAGGAAATTTCAATGTGACCCCAAACTTTTGAACGGTAGTGTATATATAAAAGACTGTGTCCTTTAAATGCGAATGAAGCAGGAGGAGGTCTTGGCAGCACATGAGTTGTGTTCGCACCCTTGACTTCCGCTTGTGTCTCCACTTGTTAGGCTGCTTTACACTTCATTTTTGTTTCCAGCATAAAGCCTGGTCCATGTCTTGGCTGTAAAGGAAAAACAAACAAAATATGAATATAAACATAAATCACAGCAAAATTGACAAATAGAGTTTTTAGCAAAGCCTGCATTGAGAGGTATTTATTGTGATATGTGCTTTCTACACAACTGAAGTGGCTGGAATACAGGAAGCAGGGCTTGTGTATATATATATGGTCATGTACAGCAGAAACAACAGGGATCGTGACTGTGTTTGTGTATCCCTGATGGTGGCGCTATTGCAGAAGTTTTTAAACTGTAAGGCTCACCTCCCAGCGGGGAACATCCCCTGAAGCATTTAGTGTGGTTTGTTGTGATAGTGTGGTTTTAAAATACTCCACCGAGTGTATTTTTAGTGTTCAATAAACAAACGCTATAGTACGCAACAAGGAAATGGGATAAAAAACAGTCGTGACTCGATAACCCGACCCATAACAATCCTAAAACCTTGCTATCTGACAGGTTTTTAGGAAAAACAAATGGAACACATGAAAAACAGCCTTAACATACCGACAGCCTTGGATTCCGACTCCAACATGACATTTAATGTCACCAATCAGGATAACGGCGTATTATCTGACTGAAAAATCCGACACATTGGCTACGTTCAGACTGCAGGACTTAATGTTCAATTCAGACTTTTTTTGTGAAATCCGACTTCGTTCCAATTAAATGCGACTTGTATGTGATCTGCTGTGTGAACTTCATACAACCCAAAAGTGTCCCGCATGCACAGAAGAGGACACGACGACGTGAGCGAGTGTGCTCAGTGTTTACGAAAGTAAACACGGATGGTAACGGTAGAGCGTATCTGCCACTCCCCTGCTGCCGCCGTCACCGATGGTGGAAACAGAACTGTGACCGCTAACTAAACGAGCATCAGCAGCCAAGTACTGCCTGTGGTTCTGGCCACTTCCACCCCATCAGAGCGCTCCCACAGGGTGGAAGTGTCCCTCGACCACGCCGAATATTCAGATATTCATCATTAATTGGGCCCAGAAAGTGCTATTGGGACCAGCCCTACTAGTTATTATAACAACTATGGACAATAGTTAACAACAAACGACCCTTCCAGCATCAAGCCCTCCTTGTATCTCGACCTCCGTCTTGACAATCCGACAACCTTGCTATCCGACATAAAAGAAGGTTTTGTGTTCAGTGTCGGATTGATCGAGTCACGACTGCATTCTAATCACGATTTCTGAAAAAAGGTGCAACAGCAAACATAACAATCTGCATGAAAATGCTAATTAAATCAGTGTTTTTTGTTTTTTTTGCATGAATGGGTCTATTTAAGCTGATATTTCTGTAATCCAAGTGACAGGAGGCAACGTGAGGGCTGCACTTAGCAAGAGCTGCAGGACAAATGTGACAGACCCTCATCTGAACCAGACCACATCACAGCTCTCACCTGTTTCTATGGCTTCAGCTTCGTTGGACTTCCACTTCTCTGCGACATCGTTTGCTAGGGGATCGTCTGGGTTGGGCGCACTTAGTAAAGCCTGGATTGATAGCAGCACCGTGCGAATTTGCAGAGCTGGTGACCATTTATCTGGGAAAAAAAAAAAAGACAAAGAGAGACTAATGGAGAAGAAGAAAAACAGAGTGTAAGACACTGAAAACAGATTATAAAGAGTAAAGCTGCTGCACAGGAGCGATGCGTCTCCTAACAGCCACTTCACTGCAAGGAAGAGGCCGTGATGAGGCCGGTGATGGTCAGCAGCGGTGGCACAAAGCTCCAGTTAGGGTCAAAAGTGTAACATAAGAGGCCTCTGATCTTTTGAGCAGGAAGAAATTGGCAAATCCCCCCACTTCATTCACGGACCAAACATCATAGGACACAAAACATACAGGCGTTCCTACAGTAACAAGCCCGACCCAGCAGGACCAATGACAGACAGACGGATGCAAAGTTACTGTTAAAGCAGCTTGGGAAAAAGACAGATTTTCTGTCGGTTGTGATTTTAGCACATCAGAGGGAGAACACATGTCTTCTAAGGTCAAGCAAACAGAGGATCAGGTCGGTGTGGCCGAGCATAAAGTGTGACACGGCAGAGCGCTGGCTTACCTTTCAAAATGTCTAGACATATTCTCCCCAGCTTGTCCACGTTGGGATGATATATTTTGGTCATGAAACGTACTTTAGGAGCTGCCATGGGATATTCCTCTGGTAAAAAGAGTTCAAGTTTAAATGTGCCTCCCTCAAAAGGTGAGTCCTGAGGTCCGGCAATGACTACGTGAAAGTAGCGGGCATTGCCTTCATCCGGCTCTGCCTTGATTCCTGGGACAGGCTCTGCAAGCAAGCGCTGAGTTTCCTGGTGAATGAAAAGGAAAAACGTGGAATTCAGAAATGATCGACATGTTTCACCTGCATTGTCACTATGTCAAGACCACGTTCTGGTTTTGGGAAAACACTTTTGACATCTGTAGAGACACAGTGTTCAGACGGGGCAGGTGAATGCCGAGACTGCACACAGCGATGAACTTAAAAACTGATTTCTAAAGGAGATAGAGCACGGAGGACCTGTCATACCGCACAAGTGAAAAATGAGTTAGAAGAGAGCTGAAGCAACAAATCTGCATTCCTGTCGCATTTTTTCTCTGCAGATGGACATAACTCATCTCACCTCTCTCGCGCGGTACACCTTCAATCATCAATCAACACAGTCGTGGAGCAGCATTGTGATATTTTGCGAACACAATATATTAGAACAACACGCCGAGCTGCTTTTGTAAATGAAAAACAGGCAAAAGTATGTTTTACTATATAATTCTTTAAAGGTCGAGCTAAGTTTCTGGCTTTCTGTGTGCATCTGAAGGAGAACTGTGAGGATTGAACGTCGCAGATGTTCTTCTTTTCAGATTTGCAAAAGCATTTTAGGCACCTGTGACAACCATCACATGAATATTTTAAAGATCTACCAGCGACAGAAACATGGAACCAGTAGAGACGTGTGACGAAGACAGGCAAAGACAAGCTTCACATGTTTTATAGCTTTGGGTTGACATAGTTTATGGTCTTCATCAGTGTAATGCTAAGAAAGAGTAACTGCATTTACTAATAAAGCTATGTTTGATGGATATCCAGATCTGTGTCAAGTGTTAAGGTAAAAAAAAAAAAATACAGTCATGACTCGATAATTTGACCCCTAACAATCCTAAACCTTGCTATCCGACAGGTTCTTAGGAAAAACAAATGGAACACATGAAAAACAGTCTTAACATACCGACAACCTTGGATTCGACTCCGACATGACATTTAATGTCACCAATCAGGATAACGGCGTATTATCTGACTGAACAATCCCACAGATTGGCTACGTTCACACTGCAGGACTTGATGCTCAATGAGGATTTTTTTGTGAAATCCAACTTCGTTCCAATTAAATGCGACTTGTATGTGATCTGCTGTGTGAACTTACGACCCAAAAGTGTCCCGCATGCACAGAAGAGGACACGATGACGTCACACCCAGCGAGCGTGCTCAGTGTTTATGGAAGTAAACATGGATGTTGGCAGTGGAGTGTATCTGCCACTCCCCTGCCACCGTCGTCGCCGATGGTGAAAACAGAACTGTGACCGCTAACTAAACTAGCATCAGCAGCCAAGTACTGCCTGTACGTTTCGGCCACTACCACCCCATCAGAGCGCTCCCACAGGGTGGAAGTGTCCCCCGACCGAATATTCGGATATTCATCATTAATTGGGCCTGAATATCCAGAGAGCAGAAAGTGCTATTGGGACCAGCCCTGCTAGTTATTATAACAACTACAAACAATAAATATTAACAACAAATGATCCTTCCAGCATCAAGCCCTCCTTGTATCTCGACCTCCGTCTTGACAATCCGACAGCCTTGCTATCCGACATAAAAGAAGGTTTTACATTTAGTGTCGGATTATCGAGTCACGACTGTATATCATGCAAAATATCCTTGGATTTTTATATGTAAAACTTGTTTTAAGTAAAATGCAAAATATATATAATTGCTTTATCATATACATCAGAGCTGCAGAAGCCGTGCGTCATTCTTAGTCTATCAACAAAGATGGTCACCGGGAGATCGTAGCGTGTTTCGTTTTTTATCCTTCACCACAGAAGGGAGGTCGATTTTCACCGCAACGGTTCCTGAATGCTGTGAATCTGAAGACTCTGTGCGGCATGTAGCTGTCTTTTAGAGGTGACACCGACTCAGCCGCCGGACCACAGGAGACCGGTGCTTCCATTAGCATCAGCTACTGCAGCAGGGCTACAACTCAACACAGTGACAGTCGAGTAACCAGTGGAGACACATGCCTTCACTGTGCCAGAGGAGCAGGTATCTGATGTGGGCTGTGGTATGTAGAGGCAGGATAAGAGGCACACTTAAGACATGCCATTAACAAGGAAACTACTTTCAGACAAATTACTTGGCAGGCCGTCTTATTGTTCTCAACTGTTCATTTTGGCTTCACCCATCAGCAGGACTGGCAGCGCAACTCTTCCTGCTATAGAAAGTCATTTGGTTATTTTGACAATCTGGAAAACCTCTTAGTGCTGTCTGGCTCAGACTGGAATGATTGTGTGTTACCCAATTTGAAATAAATCTACGCATTTTCCTCTTATTTCTGACAACTTAATAGGTAAACATGTCTATTATCCTTCAGTAAATTTAAGTCCAATTAACAAAACTTGAATCGCTATATATAGTCTTAATTCTCATCATTTGATTGGCCAAAACCTTCTTTTGGATCGCCAGAAATTCCTCTATACTTGGTAAACCCTGCCTAGTGACCGTTTGACAACCCGACAACAAGAGGACAATAAATAACTACGCATATAAATATCTTAGAAAAAAAAAGCTGGCCAACACCCACCACCCTTGTTTTTGACACTCTGCTTCCTCCGTGCAACTGGGAGTGAGATTCCTGAAATGTTTCAGATAACCCACAGACAAAACCGTGCAGTGAAAACACAGACAGGAGAGGGGCTCCCGGTCCCAGTCACACGCTCTGAGGGCTCAAGGGCTCGGCCCACTAAGTACTGTTCCCAGCCCTCCCACCTTTTCCCACAAACTGCCGGCCATGCACACCTGTGAAACCTTTTCCACTTATTCTCCTTCCTATTATGTTTATTCCCCCCTCCCAAAAAAAATCTCAGCATGTTAAACGTCTATCATATTAAATAGTTAATTAAATTTTAGGTCTAGCAGGAAACAAACATGAGGAATCAGCTGCACAGTCGATTTATCAGGTTTACAGCTTTTCTGTGGTTCAACATGATTTCAGTCTCATTCAGAACGGTCTGGCTGCACCTCATTATCATTCTGCTATCAGGGAATTTAAAAAAAACTTAGTGCTGCTTGATCCAAATCCTCTGCAAAGCTTGAAAATGTTCCGTGTGGTAGATTACCGGCCCAAAGGTGGCTGTTGTTGTCGTGCTGAAAGGGATTTTGATAACAGTAAGACGTAGACAGCAGAAGGGGAGGAGGAAGCCACGTGAAATTCACAGCCAATGGCAGAGCTCACACCCTACATCAGACTACAATAAATGAAATATCTGTGGCTGCTTGAGAGACAATGCAACAGATCACTCCGGTCTCTGGAAACTTGAGTCATGAATAGGTTTGCTTCCCTAAATGAAATCTGACTAACGTCACAGATGATCAGTGTGCCCTGCAAACACATTCCCTCGAACCGTGGCCACGCCTGTGCTCACCCTCGATCTGACAGGTCAGACTTGAGGCCAAGTTTCGGTGAATCAAACCGTTCCGATGCCAGAGAAAGCAGCAGTAGAGACTGGCGTAGCAGCAGCTGTGCATCCTCTCCACAAACATCTGTGCAAATGACACAGTTTGTGCTTTTTGCTGATGGAGGTGCACACACACAGACCTCAAAGTGTTGACAGGAGTTAAAGCTGAGCTGCATCCAGCTGTTTGTGGGAGTTTTTCCTTAAAGGTTACCAAACACCTGCAGCATTAGAATGAATATGAACGTGTCCAAAGTGACAGAGAGGTGTGTGTATTTTCCTCAAAGCGCAACACAGTGCTGACTTTATCAATCACTTATAGGCACAAATCATACCGTTAGATTGGTCCAGATCAAACGGTAAATGACGCTGTGTGCTTTTCTTCACCTCAGACAGAGTCACATTAAATAATTCGTTACACAGCTCATTCCTGAGCTCCATCACAGCTGGAAATTATTTCACAGTCAAAGTCTGATCTGTGTACTAAAGTCAAAATACTTTCTGTCATATCAATTTTTTGTAATTCAGGAGATCTTTCCATTTCACAGCACCATATTGACATTATTGTCCATATAAATGCATGACAGGACATGACCTCGATAATCATTAAACCAAAAATATTGCAGCAGATGGCTGAGTAAAAACGAAACCACACTTTATTACACATTTGATAAATTATCAACACGTATGCTCAGAATATTCGCTGTACACTAACTCTCAGTTTTCCAATAGCCTTTATGCTGCACTAGTACAATAAAATTCCCAAAACTAAGCTTTTAGTTTTGTTGTGGCACCCCGACATTTATTTTTCTTGCCACCAGTAGAGTTATCGTTGCTTGAAACTCATGATATTATGATTAAAATGAGATAAGTATGGGTTTCCATGTAAGCCGTGCACTGAACAGTACCGCTCTATGGTTCTTATTTACATTTAACTCTGATTCCTTGCACAATTACAGTTCTTTTTATTTTACTCTATATCTATTGCATTGTTGCACCAACCCACCAGAACAAACTCCTCGCATTGTGTAAACTATACCTGACAATAAACCTGTTTCTGATTCTGGACAGAGGATGTGATTTCTCAGACTGACTATCAGTGTCAATATTGTGCCAAACAGTTCAAACCTTCCTCCTTGAGCAGTATCCAGGGATGCTGAGCAAACCTCCATCACCTGCAGATGCTTTCCCAGAGGAGTCATGCGGCAAAGTGTTTTCTGATCAGCTGCCAAATCTTCCATCCATCCTGCTTTCTTAGATATTCTCAATTCTATGTAAACACATGCAGCCTATGCGCTCTAGTAATACTACTGACCCCAAACACCTTCAGAACTTCACTAAATGAAAAGGAAAACAAGACTATGAGAGGTATTGAATTTAAAGTCCATGTATGCTAACAGTAAACGTATAACACTGTGAAGTAAGAGGCTTAGGGGCTAGCCTTAGCTCGTTAAATGTCCCTGTTTTCCTCACACAACCACAAACAAAGCTAACTAACTAGCCGCGGTTAGCATCGTTAGCCTGGTTAGCCAGCCCGCTGTCAGCAGCACCAAGCAACTTGAGAGCAGGACTGAGCTTGAAAAAGTATATTTAGAGAAGGGAAGCCCGGCAGACATCATTTATCCGCCATCTTTGCACAGCGTTGGGGTATTTTTAACCCAGCGTGCCTCGGTGTATCTGGGCGCAGGAATGAGGCGGAAGGTACTTTACCAAACTAACGTTAGCCAGCGGGATGCTAACGGCTAGCACGCAAAACTGTTCACCGGCAGCAGCAGCAGCGGCGGCGGCTCTGCGGGGGGAGTTTTCTCTGTGAAAGGAAGAAGCTCCACCGTCACAGAGAAAACATGCTGCTGTTTTAGGTGTGAAATCATTTACCTTAATGATCCTGCGGGGCAGTCCTGCCATCTTGTCTTAAATGCGGGCTTTTAGCTCTCGGTGCCTCCTCTCTGTCGATGGCATTGACAGCAAACACACGTCTTCCGGGTTCTGTGCGTCATGCTAGTGGATGGAGGGACACAGGAGCGTTTTGTCTCGTGTTCAGCACAAAGCAGCAGACGTGTGTCCAAGTGGAGGAGAGAAGATGCACCAGCCAGATGTGCTGTTGGGTTCTTTCACACATTGGGGTCTAATTGCACTATTTTCAAGTTATTGTAGAGCAAAACTGATGTCAAGTAAAAATCATCATCTCACTTTGTTTCTGCTTATCAGTGAGTGCAGGTTATATGTGGACCAGTGGCTCTAAAACTGTGTGCCTTCACTGGAATTAATCTTATTTATGATGATTGCACTGTTCCATAACATGTAGGTATGAATATGTTTGCACATGCAATCTTTATTCTTATCTTTTATATCCTCACTTTTATATTCTGTGCTTGCACTATTCTTTTTAAAATGTGTATTTTTATACTTGTGTTTGCAGTATGTACATTTTTCTATCTACTATGTGTGTATTTCTGTGTGTACTGCCGCTGACAACACTGTGACCTTCTCCACTGTGAGATAAATAAAGGCATATCTTATCTTATTAACAGAGCTGTATGCATACATAAGGCAGGCCTTGGAAATGGTTGGTTGCATGAATATAATTTAATTGTAATTTAACTATCCCAGAAGTCTTAATTGCACATAATAGCCCTGTACTTTAACAAAACTGGGAAAATCTGTAAAATAACAGCAGTTCAATACTTAATAAATTTGACAAAATAACTTCTTTTTCGCTTATTAAATGCAGTAAAAGAAAAAAAAGTCTAATTTCACACTCAAACATAAAAGAACAAATTACAGTTTTGCAAAATTACAGATTTTTTAAAGAACAATTTCCAGATACTTTAAAGATTTTCCCCTTTTCATGTTAAATTACAGATAATAAACATGTTTAGTGAACGTGTACATTTTTACTGTACTGTAAACAAATGAACGTCTTTACTGTTTTAACTGTATTTTTTAAACGGTTATCTGTTGTTTTACAGATTTCCCTTTTTTGTTAAATTACAGATAATAACTAGTGAAATCAAGAAAAATTATAGAGCAAGGGTCCTGGTGTAGATCTCATTTATCCTTGATAGTTTTGTAAACCTCTGTACAGCTCAGACAATAACAAAGCGTACATTTTTCTCCATAAAAGTAGTGGTGACATTCATTTAACATAGAGAATTTTAAGAGGAGAAGCTGCCGGTGTCCTACTGACACACTGCAGGATGCTCAGCTGCAGATAAAACAGCTTTGCAGAGAGTCAGTATGAACAAAACAAGCACTGAGAGACTTCTTATACAGCCATTCATCTCTATTACTTTATTAATTCATGTGCACTATTTATTAATAGTGTTACTACTGTGCAGTGCCATATTTCATGTTGCTAGTTGTTATAATCTACACTCTGGTGCAACATTACATGACTATAATCTACATTCCTTTCATCCATTCGTGTTACTTACAGTGCCTCATCTCTACAGTTAGCTTTATATTTAGAGTTGTCTTTAAAAAGTATTGCGTTACTACAGAATGTGTTTGAGTGTGAATAGAACTCCTAATTCCATCGTATGAAGCGTTTCTAATTCTGATTTTGAAAGCGTGTTTGCAATTCTTATTGTCACAGCTCTCTAATCGCTTTATTTCAAGTATAATTTGAATGCAGGTCCTATAAGTCGTGTCTTTACCTTCCACAACTTCTAGTATTGCATCATATCACATCTACAAAGTTCAGCTTTTTGCATCACAGGAGCTGCAGAAGAAGAAACTTTGCTACTGATTTAAACAGTTCATTTTCCACCTGCACCTCTTCCAGCTTCATTTCCAAGGTTATTCTGAAGCTGACAGAGTTTATGCGTCACATCTCCTCTTCCTGTTTCAGACAAAACAAAGCACGACTTAGACCTAACACCACTCAGGGCCGGTAAGGCTGCAGGGTACAGCTGCATTTTCACTTTTTTTTTTTTTTTGCACTGCAGGCTGAATAGGAGCTATAGATCGGAGAGGGTTTGGAGCTCCTCCTCCTCACCGTATCCGTGTGGACAAAAGCGTCGTCCCTTTGGGTGTCAGGTCTGTGATGAGGACATTAGCAGAGCAGCAAACTCACAGGAGCTTCATCTGGAAAATCTGACAAAGAAACAGTATGCGCTTTCTGCCCCAACGAAGCTCAACAGGTGGGTGTCATGTCTCTGCAACTGGTTTGTGTTTCTTTTTTTGGTGAAGCAGGTGCTGAAAAAAAATGTATGTTTATGTTTGATTTAATTATTTACAAGAAATGACATTTTACTGGGTGGTTTTATTCTACAGGTTATGATTGCATTTTGGCTTAAACATGTGATTCTAGGATCTAATTCATCGCTTCATTGCACACTACTGTTACACAAGTGCAAACTCTGATCAGTGTGATTTCAATACACACAGTTTAAATATGTTTAAATCTTATTATCGACAGGTTTAATTCAGCCTTAAGGTGAGAGCATTTGAATCCTTTAAAGCTGCTCTCTTGCCACCTCATGCTTTTCCAGCACCAGCAGCTCGGGGTTAAATATCTATCATTAGTCTTCTGTAAAATATGCATATTACAGGGGAAACGACCGGCTGTAAACATGAGCCTACAAATTACTCACGTCTGCGGCTGTTACAGGTGCAAAGTTTCCGCTCATTAAGTTGAGATCATAGAAGCTCTTCAGACAAATCTGATCTCGTGGGAGTTTAAACTGATCTAATTCTGTTTGCATAAGGAAACATGATGACATGCTCTTGTCGGCTTTTTAAAGAAGATGCAATAAGTTCTTGTATTAAGTGTGTAAAGGTGAAACAAATTGAGTGCAACATACAAAAAAAGAAGCAAAAATTGAATTAAAATATGGTCAGAGTAGTGACTGACTGGTGGTGACTTATCATTAAGGGAATTATTGATTATTCCTCTCCAGTGGCATCTTTTAGCGTCCCGTCCCGCTCCACCTCACCAACCCCCGAAATTTTCCATTGTTCGGCACACACAGGAACAGATGAACCAGCGCCTAATGCAGTGCCTTCTCTCAGTGCACAGGGAGAACAGACAATATCAGCCACATTACAGGGGCTGCTGCTCCCACTGAGCCGCAAGATTTATGTCAACAGACCGCGGCCAGACTTCCTTATCAACTCAATTTTATATAGAGGAATTACTGTAAGTGGTAAGCTTAGTGCGATGCACGAGGCTCAACCTGACGGAAGTGTGTTTTTCACGAGTTAAAGCTTGTGATGGATGTGAGTGATTCAGACA